ACAGAACTTATATAAGATAAAATTGGGTCAAAAATACATTTTACATTAATACTAATATATAATACTTTTAATAAAAACGACAATAATGGGTAGTTAAGGACTGATTATATTAACAGATAAAAGAAAAAATTACATTAACAATTTCTGAACATTCTAAATTATTTACAATTTATTAACGATTTGTAAACGGTTGAATTACTAATATTTAAACAGTACATTTGTAATAACAATGCTCCCCTAATCCTCTGTGGCCTCCACATCTCCCCTTATAGCCACCCTATCCGCCCAAATGAATAGTAATTATGAATGTGTTAATAAATATTTAATGGTGCAAATTCTGGACAAATAGATCATGGCAGATTATTGGAGTTGTGATTCCTTGATGTTTTGAAATGAAGGTCCTGCAGTTGATTGTAAAAAGTCATCTGAGAGGTATGAAGAGAGTAGGACTGGCCTTCCAAAATTTTACTGAAACAGGAAAACAAAAATTCAATTTTATTGGTAATTAAATCGTTGGTATTCTTATAAAACTAGAACTGTTTCATCTAAGACTTGTTGCTCCAAAATTCCCACTAGGGTTGAAATCTGTATAATTAGTAGTTGTTTAATTTTACATTCATACATTAATCAATAAAATTCATAATAGCAAATCAAAGTTTAAACTCGTTTTTTTGTAAATATAAATATGTAACTGTACTTATAATAACACTTTGGAATTGTTTAAAAGTATTTGACGTTATTTTACTTTTTTGTCAGTGCATCATGCTATTGAGACCGTCTGTCTGTCCGTTACAGGCTAATCTTTCACACGGTTTAGCCTATTTCGGTAGAACATTATAGGCATGAAGAGAAAATTGTTAGGAGTTATCTAGACTCCTATATTATTATGAAAGAAATTACTTACAATGTTATATTGAGGAAATTGTTATTACTTGGAATCACATGAACACCAATTTTATTCTCTAGAGCGAGGAAGAACGAGAACCATCATACAATGAATGAAAACATATAAGAAAACATTTCAAGTTATATTTTTTGCGACCCTCTAAAAGCCTAACGACATTTTACAAAATGTTTTGCTTTTTTTGGGACAGTTATGCTTGAGATATGGGTTTATCAATCAAGTTAAACAGTGTAGTGTGTTTTGTCGACTCGAAGAAAAAACCCTCGTAAATTGTTTTGTTCCACCACATAAAATGGTATCACAGTTTCGTAATAAATGAACTCTGCGAAGCTGGCACATCAGAGTAAATAAAATGAATTTCGAAAATACGGAAATTAAGGGCTTCTTTGGGAGTTATTTGGTGCTTTGGTCAAAAATTAGGGGCACATAATTTATGTTAATTAATTTTTTACTAATGTGTCGTTTTCTTTTTAATGTTACACACCTTTTAAATTTGTTGTCTTGATTGATAATAAATTATGATCCTCTAATTATAAATCTTGGCAACGAATTAATTCTTAAAGAGCCGTTTTAGCCAAATAAATTTATGTTTCTCCAAATATAAATTTAGAATATTTTGACTTTAA